AAATTTTATGGTGATAGGAGCTCCTGGCAACTCAACGATTCCTTTATCACTGCCAATTAGTGGAAGCATCAATATTCAAAGAGTAACAAGTAGCAAGTTTCTTGGAGTGACATTTGATGAGGATTTTAATTTCAAAGAGCATCATTCCAACTTAATGGATAAATTGACGCAGTCTTGTACAGTTTTTCAACGGGCACATAATGTCTCACCTGTATTTCTGTTCTTTTATCTTTGCCAAATTCACTCAAGAAGAAATCGCGAGATTACAAAGAATCCAAAATCGCTGCATCAAATTAATCTTTGGACTGGATGCATGCCATTCAACTTTAGATCTATTTAAGACATACGTAACAAATACACTTCCCGTCATTGGTATTATATACGCTTCACTCATCACAAACATCCACAAATCACTAGTTCTGAACAAGGACGAATTAATTAAATTTAATGTGTCAAATAGCAACAGACGATCTTCTGAAGACTTGATAGCATCGAGATTCAGGAAGAAGCAATAACTAGGCACAGATATCACATATCTCGGTGTTATTCTGTACAATCAGTTGTCAAAGAAACTGAAAGAAATTAAAAACTTAATTAAATTTAAATTAGAAGTGAAAAAATACTTAATTGGCAAGATAGACCTGCTTTTTGCTGCTGATCAATTCCATAATCGTCGTATTTCTTGATGGCTTCTAGGTCACAGTCAATCATTTAGTAATTATTCTTATTCAGGCTTAATTAATGTTTTTAGTCATTTAACAGTTAAAATTCTCAAACTATCACATGTTATTCTGTGTACTAAAAATTTAGAACTGTAATTAGTTCAAAATTTCTTAGACCGTTAAAATTCAAATAATTTAAATCGTTATTATTCTTCGAATAGTTTCTTATTCGATTGTCATACTCAAATTAATGTATTCGTTTCATATTATCTAAGTCTTGTATTGTTATTTCATCCAACTGTATAGCAGTGTCATATCTCTTAAGAGTCTGACAAATAATAAACATAAACATACATGCGTCCATTATAGTGCATGAAAATTTTTCATGCACAGTTTTGAAGAAAATATTTGCGAAGAAAATCAAAGTTAGCATTGACATTGATAATTAACAAAATCTCATTAAATTTTTTTCGTTCAAGGTGATAACATTGAAATAAGTTTTCGTGAAAAAAAAATTGCTATTTCTAGCAAAAGGATATCCAAAGGATCCAAATAAATAAAATACTGTGAAAAAGACTGTAAAAAACAATAAATAAAAAAAAAATTTTTGTGAAAAAAAATTGACTGTTCCTGGCAAAAGGATATCCAAAGGATCCATTTATATACAAGCCTTTGAAAAAGAACAATAAGGTAAAGTGGATTGAATTTATGAAAAAACTAGAAACTCGACGATCTTTTTAAGATTTTTGCTCAACGTAAAAATTAATTTTTAATTTTAGACTAGGGTAAAAGTAGGGTGACCATCTGCGTAGTTTTACAACGGACAGTCCTGTATTTCAAAACCCTGTCCTGTATAAATTTGAAAATTTTGTTCTAGGTCCTGTATTTTTTTCACGAAAATTTCCGTTAATTTTCAAATTTTCCTTTGTGTACTGTATTTTTTAGGAAATTTATCAAATGTCCTGTATTTTCATAAAAATTAGATGGTTACCCTAGGTAAAAGATATGTAAATTAATGCATAAGGGCAAATCCGCGGGCAATAAAACGCTTCAAAATTTTGTTTTTCTCAAATTTCTCTCCTATTTGACTTTTAAAGTAATGTTTTAATACCAAATCATGCGTAATTTTGAAAAATGAACAACTTTTGATACTTAGCACAAGATTAAAACATTTAATTAAAGAGATATTTTGAATTTAATAGCGTTAATCGATCCTGCGCACGAAAATTTAATTTTGAAAAATCCAAAAAAAAATACATGTTTAATGAGTTAGACAATATGGCTTGCAAGTTATTGCATTGGAAATGCAATTTTGTATCATAAATTAACATCATTTCTTAAATATACGTACTCAATTTAAAGTAATTAACAAAAAATAGAGTTAATCGATCCTGCAGAACGTTTTATTGCGAAACTCAAGATAATGCATTGTTGCAAAACACAATAATATTTAAAGTTAAAATTATTATTTCATTTTAACTTACTATTAGGGCATCTATCCACATATATTAAATATTAATTATAAAATTTTCTGCAATAATTTATTGTTAAAAACCATCCAAAATAATTTAAGCAACAGAAAAATAATTTTTTATGAAGAAATTTTAACGTTTTTTATTTTTTTGAATTCAAACAAGAAGAAAAATATTACAACTCGCTTTTTCCCAGTTCACAATGATTCAGAATCGAAAAAAATGTTCAAAAATTCAAAAATTTCATGTTAATTAAACTATGTCCTTTAAATGCCAGATTAAAGATCTTAACTTGAGGCATATCCTATGAAAATATCTCGTCCCAATTTGATGTCTAACTCCAGAAATCATTAATTTAATCTCACCCAAAATTTGTTTACAATTTGTGTATGAAAAAAAAAAATATGATTTTTTCTACTTTAAGTTGTTATTTGGATGTCTTGGAAGCAGTTACTAGCTAATTTAAGCTTAGCTTTACATACTAAAACAACCAACTCAATAGAAATCTGCGTACTGGGGGTCCTCGATTTGAGTAGTTGTTTTGTTCCAAAAAATTTCTACTCAAATCGAATCTATTCAAATCGAGGCAAAGAATCAATACAAAATTACATGTTTTGTTCCAGAGTACAAAAAATATGTCAAAACAATGAAATTTTTGATCATTTTTTGCACATTTTACCTCGTTGCTTAACTTTTCCTATGTGTTTTAGATAACTTAATTTATTTCAAGGCATATTCATATTGTTTTTACACAGAAATTCACAAAAAATATGTTTTTGAAACAAAACAAAAATATGAGAACCTTGCAAATGTTAATTCACTGAACAATTTGTAAGGTTTTTGAATTTGAACTTTTAATTTTATAGCGATTTTTTAAATTTTTACTTTAATTTTGTAACTTTAGTATTGATTTTTCTATCAATATGATAAGTTCACGCTTATTGCAGTAAAATTTATGTTTTAAAAATATTTTCTGAAATGTTTTTATCAAAAATATTTGTTTTGTAAACAGTTCAAATCGAAGAAAACAGGAAGAAATCTACTCAAATCGAATATTTTGGTGGGTAAAAATTTTTCTGTTCAAATCGAATCTACTCAAATAGAATCTACTCAAATCGAGGACCCCCAGTATTAAGCCTTAAAAATGGAATTGAAATCTGAGTATTTTTACACTACTTAAACTATTCATAAGTTAAAAAGTCTTCCAAAGACCTCTCTGAAACCTATATAAATCCATTAATTAAGTTAAAATCTATCTCCCATATTACTGAGGACATGCCGTTTGATGCCGTTTTCGAGATATTTGCGATCAAAGTTTACATAAATTTTCATACAAAATTTGATCATGCACAATATTTTTTGATAAACTTTTACAAACTTTTGGTAAAAAATCATGTTTATCCTTTATATTAGGGACTAATTTTTTGAGCAATGAACGAAAACATTATGTAGATGATGCTAAAAGATTCAAATCAAGAGAAATTAACAAAAACTTTCAATTTTCTAATGTGTTGGAAAAATATTGTGCACAAGGAATTTTTGAACATTTTTTCCAAATCTGAATCATTGTGCAGTTCATGCTTTCTGCGGATTTGCCCATAAGGGCAATTCTATTGATTAATTTTTTCTAAAATATTCATTTCTGAATCGAATGTTTCCTTCATTAGAGAACTTTGCAGCTGCAATTTTCACAATTTTTGTACGAATTTTGAGAATTAAATTTTTAACTTCAATTTTTTAACTTAGCTAACAACGGCTAGCAGAATATCGAAATAACAACTTTAAGTAGAGAAAATCATAGATTTTTTTTTCATACACAAATTGTAAACAAATTTTTGGTGAGAAAAAATTAAACATGAAATACAGCATTTAAGAAGCCAAAGACAAATTGTTAGATGTAGTTGAGTGACTTACGATCAGTTTATTCAGTATCCATTGGGATTGTAGATTTCAGGAATTTCAGTTGCTCTACTGAGTCAATTCTAATAAACTTCTCTTGATTTCTCAAGTCGATATGGAAGCTTCCTCTCATTAGCCAGTATCGTTCAATGGATTTTGAATTTTTCTTTATCTTTTTTACATGATCAATAATTCCACGATTTAAGGAAGTCAACGGTGTTTGGAAGTATATAATGTTTGTTCTGTCTGGATCATCTTCTCTCATTTCAATAATTTGCTCACACAAAATCGGTATAGGTTTCTTATATTGGTATTTTTGCTGTTGCTTAACATGATTCATAATTTTGTCCTTGTCTCCTTGATTTTGAAAGTGAACAAATGCTGTTTTTGATTCCTTATATGTATTAAAGATGATGGAGTTGATTTTTGATAGCTGTGTCAGACCATTTAAGCAGCGATTCCATAAGGGGCCGTTCACTTATTACGTAAAAAACTCCTTTTACACCCCCCCCCCCCCCTCGTAACAAAATTTGTATGAAAAATTTCTTTTGTTTGAACCGTAACAAAATCTTAGACCCCCCTCCCCCCTAAAAGCGTTACGTAATAAGTGAACGGCCCCTAAAGTTTTCAGTGTTCAGTGTTTTTGGAAAATTGGATAACATTAATTGAGTGTCAAGACTTTTCTGGTCAATAATTTGTAATTTTAACATCTGCGTGATTAAATATCATGCATCAAATAGAAAGTTATGGCCCTTTAAACTTTTCGTCTCCATTTCGCTATAATTTCGCATAACACTATAAAATTCCTTTAATTAAATTACTTTAAAAATTTATGAAATATCACTTTAGCGTCACTTACGAATATTTACGAAATTTCACTTTAGCGTCACTTACGAATAATTGCTTTGTGATGGGGCCGTTAATAAATTGATATAAATTGTTTTTTTTTGCATTCATTTTCAGAAAAATGGTTGGAAAAACCCAGCATAAATTTCTAACAATTGTAAAGAAGAAATATCTTCAATGTTTTGATGTCCGAGGCGATATTTTAATGGATAAGGAAGAAGATTTTATTAAAAAAATAATGCGATGCATAAACAAACGCGACGAAAAGAAATATGTGTTTCGGTACACCATTAGAAAATTTTTATGCAATGAAAAATTGAAGTTTGCAATAAAAGAATTTAAGCAACAGTCATTACGTAAGTACAATGATTGTCATTTACATGCATAATATTTTTAAAACTATTATTTTGTTACATAGCTGAATATCGGTCTTCGACAGACAATCAGCCATTAGGAGCAGAACACTCCAATGTTCTTTCACGTTCTCTATTGTCTCCTGCACATGCTCATAATGCTCTGGATTTAATTGCTATTAATTATGATAATATTGATGGCGAAAGTTTCATGGAGGATGAAACACCATCAACACAGTTGCCGCCTGAAATTATGAACATCAGCGAATCCATTGATTTTGGCGAGTCCTTTAATTTAGATGACTTAAGGAAGACAGATAAGGAAGTTGCTGAGCAAGTTGATGATACAGTCATTGGAGGATTTTCAAAAATATCGTTCAATTATAGTAATCGTTTTATTGCACGATATGAACATTGTCATTCACACGAGACATTTGATGGAACTATAGTAGATGAAGAATGAAAAATAAATTATTATTTATGATATTATATTTTGTAGATGAGAAGCATGGATATGAATAAGAATATTGTAAAGAAAAGTTAAAGATCCAAACGGCACGAAAGCAATTTATCTACCAATTTTTTATACTACACGGATGAAGTTTACTTACTTCTCTTAATCATATAAATAATCAAAGATGCGGATCAATCTTATTTTGTAAATTTTTCAATTCAGCACTCATTCTGTAAATAATAATGTTTTGTAGCAAACTCTTTTTTTAAAAATGGATTTTTTTTTGTTTTTACACTATGAATATGCGTTCCATTATTTCATATTTTTTTTACAGTTTATAAAAATCTAATCAAAATAGCTTCTTTTCTTAATTTAAGAGTAAGTTAATTGTTAGAACAATTATTGTTCCTGCCGATTTTTTATTTACTACGTTTTTCTTAACTTGCTTTCTTATCTGTCTGTTTATCTGTCGAGGTCAAATCTTGTAATCAATTTTTCGACCAATTCTACTGCTCCAATAGAGCTCAAATTTTTAATGCACACGTATTCCCGGTGACAATACAATATTTTAACACATTGGAACCACAAAAATGCTTAATTATAGTACAATTTTAATAAAACTTTTTTATTTGGGAGGAAAATCCAATGTCAATGATATGAAATTTTGATTTGTTTAAAATATTATAATTGTGATGCTCTAAAGTCATTTATATGATTCATTATAGTTTAATTAATATTACTAATTATTAATTATACCATAAATTTGAGCAGCTAAAGATATTCTGGTAAGACAAAAAAATTGACATGTAATTTTTTCATGAATATTCGTAAGTGAAAATTTGAATTTTCAAAAAAACCGTTAAGCACAAGTCCGTTACGAATTTATGCAAAATAACTATTAATATGCGATGTGTATTTAGCACACATTGATTGAGCATAAATTTATGCTGTTTTAAATGTATTGCATTATTTATAACACTTCACCAACTTAATTAAATTGACTTTTCTTTTTATTAACGGCTTGACGTATTTTTGCATAACATATGAATGATATTCATTGAATTTAAATTTGAAAATCCGTTACATATAGATTTGATTTGCATCTTTATGTTAAGAATTCACACGTTATGTAGTAGGAATGGTTCGGATAAACACAAAATCTTTACGAGTGATTTTTAATGTACTTTACTAATGAATGCTTTAAAAAAATTAAATTTTATAAAACGAATGAAAAATTTTGAAAGTCGTTACTAATTTCCCATTGAAAACTGGTAATTTATAAACAGTTGAACGTAACGGAGTGAAACGAAGTGGAGTTCAACACACCAGTAACCTATGAACCTACTGTAATCTATAAACAGTTGAACGTAACGAAGTGCAACGAAGTGGAGTTCAACACACCAGTAACCTATGAACCTACTGTAATCTATAAACAGTTGAACGTAACGAAGTGCAACGAAGTGGAGTTCAACACACCTGTAACCTATAAACCCACTGTAATCTTTAAACAGTTGAACGTAACGAAGTGCAACGAAGTGAAGTTCAACACACCTGTAACCTATAAACCCACTGTAATCTATAAACAGTTGAACGTAACGAAATGCAACGAAGTGGAGTTCAACACACCAGTAACCCATGAACCTACTGTAATCTATAAACAGTTGAACGTAACGAAATGCAACGAAGTGTAGTTCAACACACCTGTAACCTATAAACCCACTGTAATCTTTAAACAGTTGAACGTAACGAAGTGCAACGAAGTGAAGTTCAACACACCTGTAACCTATAAACCTACTGCAATCTATAAACAGTTGAACGTAACGAAGTGCAACGAAGTGAAGTTCAACACACCTGTAACCTATAAACCCACTGTAATCTTTAAACAGTTGAACGTAACGAAGTGCAACGAAGTGAAGTTCAACACACCTGTAACCTATAAACCTACTGCAATCTTTAAACAGTTGAACGTAACGAAGTGCAACGAAGTGAAGTTCAACACACCTGTAACCTATAAACCCACTGTAATCTATAAACAGTTGAACGTAACGAAGTGCAACGAAGTGGAGTTCAACACACCTGTAACCTATAAACCCACTGTAATCTTTAAACAGTTGAACGTAACGAAGTGCAACGAAGTGAAGTTCAACACACCTGTAACCTATAAACCCACTGTAATCTATAAACAGTTGAACGTAACGAAATGCAACGAAGTGGAGTTCAACACACCAGTAACCCATGAACCTACTGAAATCTATAAACAGTTGAACGTAACGAAGTGCAACGAAGTGGAGTTCAACACACCTGTAACCTATAAACCCACTGTAATCTATAAACAGTTGAACGTAACGAAATGCAACGAAGTGGAGTTCAACACACCAGTAACCCATGAACCTACTGTAATCTATAAACAGTTGAACGTAACGAAGTGCAACGAAGTGGAGTTCAACACACCTGTAACCTATAAACCCACTGTAATCTTTAAACAGTTGAACGTAACGAAGTGCAACGAAGTGGAGTTCAACACACCAGTAACCCATGAACCTACTGTAATCTATAAACAGTTGAACGTAACGAAGTGCAACGAAGTGGAGTTCAACACACCTGTAACCTATAAACCCACTGTAATCTTTAAACAGTTGAACGTAACGAAGTGCAACGAAGTGAAGTTCAACACACCTGTAACCTATAAACCTACTGCAATCTATAAACAGTTGAACGTAACGAAGTGCAACGAAGTGAAGTTCAACACACCTGTAACCTATGAACCTACTGTAATCTTTAAACAGTTGAACGTAACGAAGTGCAACGAAGTGGAGTTCAACACACCTGTAACCTATAAACCCACTGTAATCTTTAAACAGTTGAACGTAACGAAGTGCAACGAAGTGGAGTTCAACACACCAGTAACCCATGAACCTACTGTAATCTATAAACAGTTGAACGTAACGAAGTGCAACGAAGTGGAGTTCAACACACCTGTAACCTATAAACCCACTGTAATCTTTAAACAGTTGAACGTAACGAAGTGCAACGAAGTGAAGTTCAACACACCTGTAACCTATAAACCTACTGCAATCTATAAACAGTTGAACGTAACGAAGTGCAACGAAGTGAAGTTCAACACACCTGTAACCTATAAACCCACTGTAATCTTTAAACAGTTGAACGTAACGAAGTGCAACGAAGTGAAGTTCAACACACCTGTAACCTATAAACCTACTGCAATCTTTAAACAGTTGAACGTAACGAAGTGCAACGAAGTGAAGTTCAACACACCTGTAACCTATAAACCCACTGTAATCTATAAACAGTTGAACGTAACGAAATGCAACGAAGTGGAGTTCAACACACCAGTAACCCATGAACCTACTGTAATCTATAAACAGTTGAACGTAACGAAGTGCAACGAAGTGGAGTTCAACACACCTGTAACCTATAAACCCACTGTAATCTTTAAACAGTTGAACGTAACGAAGTGCAACGAAGTGAAGTTCAACACACCTGTAACCTATAAACCTACTGTAATCTATAAACAGTTGAACGTAACGAAGTGCAACGAAGTGAAGTTCAACACACCTGTAACCTATAAACCTACTGTAATCTATAAACAGTTGAACGTAACGAAGTGAAGTTCAACACACCTGTAACCTATAAACCCCCTATAATCTTTATTTCTCTATTTCATTAGAATAAGACTAAAATGTAGAAAATAAAATACTTTATAAAAAAAACTTTTTAAAAAAACTACGTTTTTCGCGTAGACTAAAAAGTAGAAAATAACTTTTATTCTTGGTTGTAAAGAATTTGGTTTTAAATTTTCAGATTATATTTAATAAATTTTTATATCCTAGTCAATATTGTTTACAAAGTTTCGAATAAGTGCACTTTGATCTTATCGTATAACTCAACAACTTAAAAACGTGGGCGCATTATAAGAGGAGAAATAAGTTTATGTGAAATCAATACTTTATGATAAACTTAAATTAATGCGCCCACGTTTTTAAGTTGTTGAGTTATACGATAAGATCAAAGTGCACTTATTCGAAACTTTGTAAACAATATTGACTAGGATATAAAAATTTATTAAATATAATCTGAAAATTTAAAACCAAATTCTTTACAACCAAGAATAAAAGTTATTTTCTACTTTTTAGTCTACGCGAAAAACGTAGTTTTTTTAAAAAGTTTTTTTTATAAAGTATTTTTACTTTTGCCTTATTGAACATAGCATGACATGAATAGCGATTTGTGTAATCTTTTCTCATGTCGTGATTTTTCGCTAAGTGCTTTGTGTTTACATTTAGTTTTTTGTGTGCGATACAAATCTATCGGATCGATCTTGTCTATCCATCTTTTGAAAGCGATTTATTCTTTTTCTGTGATTTTAGTTCACACAATATTTGTTGATTTTGATTTTAAAAAGCAGAAAGCAATACAGACACACGAACAGACAAGTAAAAGCAAAAAATGAAAAATCATTCTTATATCAACAAAAGCTTCAATTTCAATCTTCACTGTCTCTCTTGTTTCTACATTATATCGCTCAGTAGCTTCCATTGTCCCAGCGGGACATCAACAATCATTAATTTGATTTTCATTGCATGCCATTTCACTTACCAAATGTGTATGTATGAGTACTTAGCTCAGAAATATAATTCATTTCGATAAAGCTCACTTTTTCAGAGCTCAGAAAATAGCATTTGAGTACTAACATTAAAATGAGCATACGGAAGCAAAAAGTAAAGCGAAAAAAGGAATTGCAATTTGAAACTGCTGTGAACTCTGTGCTGTGCGCAAACAAAAATAAGAGGAATATCAAGACACATCACATGCAAAGTATATATACTGTGTGTTCAACTGTTTGGACAGTAAATAAGATAAATTGTTTGAGAAATCAATCGACACATTCATGAAGATAAAGAGGTATAGTGAGTGTATTGAGTATACGTGAATAAATGAATCGATGGATGGATCAGACCAAGGAAGATGAAGTTAAACGATATTCGATT